AATACTTTATAATCTATAGTTTACAGTTTATAGTTTATGTCTAATTTGTTGCATCTCCCTCAGTTCTCTTTTTCTCTAAAAAAGAATCTCTTTCTCTCAAAAGAAGAATCTCTTTCTCTCTAAAAAAGAATCTCTTTCTCTCTAAAAAAAGGATCTCTTTCTCTCTAAAAAAGAATTTCTTTCTCTCTAAAAAAGGATCTCTTTCTTTCTAAAAAAAGAATCTCTTTCTCTCTAAAAAAAGAATCTCTTCCTCTCTAAAAAAGAATCTCTTTCTCTCTAAAAAAGAATCTCTTTCTCTCTAAAAAAAGGATCTCTTTCTCTCTAAAAAAAAGAATCTCTTCCTCTCTAAAAAGAATTTATTTCTCTCTAAAAAAAGAATCTCTTTCAAAAGAAGTTGATCACAAGTATATTTCCACATCGGCTGTTCTTCTTTTCTTCAAAGTCCTCTCTCCTCCAACTGTCCAGTGGCTCCTGGTGTAGCTCGTATAGTAGTATAATATGGAAAGTTATCTATAAGCTTTTGTGATGCAAGGAAATATAGCAAAAGATGGAGTTATTCCATGACAAATTTTTCCTCCAAAAAAGAATGATCTTGAAATGAGGTTGAAGTCTCCTCTCAGAATTCTTCATTCCTCCTGCACTCTTTTTTGTCTCTCTCAAAAATTAGTTAATATATTTTCAGTTTTACATATATACAATTTAACAATGAAACTTTACATGCAATCATGATATATTACATGTACCATTGACTGGAAATTTTACATGTATTTATAATATAATCTTAGTTTTACAAGTACAGTTTCACTTAAAATTTTACTTTTACATGTACTTATTTAAGCACCCATTTCTCTCAAATCAATTTAATTATAAAAATATAAAGCATAATAATGAGGAAAGGTAGCATTGGAGTATGAGAAATAAGAAGGAAATAAGAAAAGGGGAATAAAGAAAAGATAGAAAAGGAGGAGAAGAGATAATACTAACCCTTGTTTTTATAAGTATCAAGGAGAAGGTGTAGATATGCTATTATCTTGAGGCTTGTTTTATTAAATATGTGTACCATTCTTACATACAGCGACAAGAAGGCATGCTGTATTTTGGCAGCTACCTGACCTCTCTTGAACGCTGCAAACAGCAGTCAGTTTTGACTAACTGTTGACCGACCTGACACACACATACATACAGTATACTAGCAATACATGATTATAATTCCTACATCCCAGCACACACCAGTCAACATATCTCAAGTAATATTACCTCGTGAGGAAGATCCTGTCAAGAATGAAAAGCTGGACACACTAATGAGGGTGTGTATGTGGGTTGGGTACAAACCCACACACACACACCCACTAATGTGTTACTGCAATCAATGCACCAGCTTTCCATTCTTGACAGGATCTCCCTCACAAATATTACAAGAAACATACTGCCTAGTGTACAACGGGACAACCTAACAATGTGTGCAGGCCAGCCGGTAGGAACGGGGAATGTACTTACAGTAGGGACATAATAATATTAATTTTACATTTAAAACATCGCGTATAAGCATGATGGCTCATTCCTCCAGGAGCCTGTGACATGACTAGCTATACACAAAGACAACAGTATTATAATATCATGCAAGGGAAGTATGTGTGCATCTACTAGCCAGGCATGGTCGGCCATCCCAGCTAGTAGTAGTACAGGTAACTTGCTGTGTTACATCCTTGTGACATCCTCCCCCGTCCATGTAACAACAGTGACATCCTTCCACCGCGTGACATCTTTCAGACATCCTTCCTGTGACATTCGTGTTTGGATCCCAGTAAATCATCCAAGTGATCTTGACTGGCCTTCACAGTTAGCAGGGAAGATTGTAACAGTCTCTCCTAGTATAAAGAAAAAGAATACAAGTTAACAAGAGAAGGCTTGTTCTTATCATAACATTGGGACAAACAACTTGTAAAGTTAAAATTAAATTTTTAAAATTCAAATTTAATTTCAAAATTAAAACATGAGTATTAGAGTTTGAAATTTTTAAGGGGCAATAAAGGCAAAAAGTACATGTTAATTAAATTCCTCACTTGTAATGACAATCCTTCCACGTGACATCTTTCCTCAGTTGCTAGTGACATTCATGTTGGATCCCAGTAAACTGTTCAAGTGATCTTGACTGGCCTTCACAGTTTGCAGGGGTGAGTGTAACAGTCTCTCCTAGTATAAAGAAAAAGAATACAAGTTAACAAGAGAAGGCTTGTTCTTATCATAACATTGGGACAAACAACTTGTAAAGTTAAAATTGAATTTTTGAATTTCAAATTAAACTTTAAAATTAAAAATTGAATATCAAAATTTGGATTTTTTTTAATTTTAAGGGGCAATGAAGGCAAAAAGTGCATGTTAATTAAATTCCTCACTTGTAATGACATCCAGCCTTCAGTTTTTAGTCTCCACTTGCTGGTATCCATCACAGGATGAATGGGTGTTATAGCCTTCTGAATAAAATGGCACCATAGACCTATTGAGAGAAAAATAGAGTTAGACATGAGATAAAGACACTGGCTCTTACCAGTCAGGTGTTAGGCCAGCCAATGAGTAATAAACTGTAGCAAAGGAGACTGGAGGCAGCTAACCTGTAAAAGAAGGGGAAAAAAGTAAAATATTGACAAAAGAGTGGTTA